TACGGTGTGTGCGTGGTGCGGTGTGGGGTCTCGCCAATTTCGCACTGGTGATGGGTCTGTCCTGGCCCAGGTCACACGGGTGGTGACACGCAGGAATATAGAGGAGCGGGTAGGTGTCGAAGCCGTGTAAGATTGTGGTGCCGGCAAGGCTGTCGTCATTGTCGGCGATCCCCCCCCCCACAACATCGGGCGAGGCAGCGGTCCCGAGAGTATGGCGTGGACCGGTACGTAGAGGCGGTTGAGAATTTTGATGCCCAGCGTGGGGGAGCTGGCAGTCGCGCAGTGCGTCATCGGAGGTCGGGCCCAGGTGGCATCTATTCCAGCGCACAAGATACTCTCTCAATAGATAGTATTTGTACAGTCATCTATACATGAGGATGAGCTGAAAAGTACGCAGTCATAAATGGAGCAGAAGCACATACTGCGGCAGTAACCATACAGAGCCAGAGGCAGTTCTATGTGTAGGATGTGTAGACAGTGGTCTGAGCGGGAGGTTTGTGCGGCGTGCGGTGTGGGAGGGCGCGTGTGGTCCTATCGGGAGCGATTTCCTAGAAGAGTATAGGAAGGGCGGGTGAGAGAGAGTGAGGAGGCGTGGGGCGTGAGGCGGGGTGTGTTCAGAATGAAAACTGGTGTGTGAGGCGAGCGGGGGGTCCACAGGTGTGGTGGGGGTGGCGAGCGTGGGGGGATGCGAGCAGTGCGTGTGAGGTGGGGGGGTGAGTGTGTTGCGGGGCTTGCCGCGATGAGATCGTGGCGAAGATGGTAGCGGGTCGTGGAGTGGTCTGGCGGAAGAAAGACCAGGTGAGTGCAGAGCGGCGAGTGAGATGACCTCGTTGCGCGAGTGGAGTGCGCGAGCATCCCGTGTGCTTCCGATTGAAGCTGAAGGCAGGTGTGAATAGGTGGAGCTGGGCTGGTGGTGGATGAGCCAAGCAGAAGCAGAGGGAGGTGCGGGTGCTCCAGGCGAGCGTGTGTGCGAATTCTGCAAGTAACGGAGACCAAGTGGGTAGCCTGAAGTGTAGGAGTAGGTGGGTCGTTACATAAAGCCGGAGGGAGAGGGTCGAGGGTTTTGATGTGTTCAATTGGCCGCTTGAAGAGTTCCAGAGTGGCGCAGGTCGCAGAGAGCGCTAAATTCTCGTGGGTCGAGTCAGCTAGACCTAAGGCAAGCTAGCGTGTCGTTGGGCAGTTGCGATTGAATCGAGCGAGGCGTACGCGTGTGTGACAGCAAGTACTCTATGTCCACCCGACGTCTCACTGCACGTTGGTCTTAGGTAGAGAGGGTGTAGTGTGTTGGAGAGGGAGAGTTGCTGCGCGGGGAGTGTGTGTGTGGAGAGTTCTGTCGCTGAGGTGTTCGTGTGGAGCAGTGTTCGCAAGTGGCCCCAAGCGGAACCGCTGCAGGCGGGGTGCGTGCTCGGGGGGGTGGAGCAGCGGTGTACGGCGGCGCGGAGAAGATAGAGAGAGGAGCAGGTGGGAGCGTGCGAGAGTGCGTGGTGTGTGTGCGAGGAGGAGTGCGGCGTGTTGGCGCGAGAGTGCCGTGGTGTGGGCGCGAGCGCTGTGTGTGCGTTGTGGGGTGGGTGTTAAGCAATCGCGCGAGTGAAGGTTGGGAGCGAACTAGAGTTGGTGAGTGTGTGGGTAGAGGGGTGAGGGGTGTGTGTTGGGGGCGAGGTGACACGAGGGTGAGTGGTGGGCGTGGGGTGCGTGAGTAGCGTGGAGAGAGATGGTGAGGGCGGGGGGGTGGGGTTGGGGGGGAGGGGGTGTGCGGGCAGGGTTGTGGGGTGTGGCGGGGGTTTAACAGAGGCGGAGGTGAGGGTATTATAGGGCGTGGGAGGATGGGAAATTGTTAGCGTTGACTTATGGAGGAGACGAGTTGCACCGACTGGTGGAGGGCAGCACATGCGAGAAGATTCGTATGTGGGGCGCAAGGCGATGGCTGTGGTCATCACTTTCTTTTTTTTATGGAGAGCGTATCGTAGATGTGTCGCTTTGTTTGTAGCCAGGATCTAATGTAGCACTAAAAAATGCAGGTGGATGAAACGCGAATGGGTAATTTCTTAATGGATTAACCTGTTGTGGATTGATGGGGGGGGCACGAGCGTTCTGGCGCTGCCAAATGTGGCTTTCCGTCGTCCTGTGTTCCTGTGCTGCAGGGGCAGGTATATTCCCAATGAGGCCTACTTTGCACCTGCCCTGAAAATTGAAATCGAGCATATATTTACACATTTTGAAAAGCGAGTGGTTACGGTGTTCTTAATCATGCGTTTTAGTGGTGGGCTGATGGTTCAGGTAGATGCTTAGTGGGGCCATGAATGATAACCGTACGTGGAGTTTTGCCCAACGGTACACACGTTCTCTGGAGAAAGGGGCCAGATGTTTCGATTACCGGTTGGTCAGGAGTTGGTGTTATCAGTTGTATCGGATAGTAAAGCCATGGCGGCTCAGGGGGTAGTTTGTTGCGGTGGGAGTCGGAGCAAGAGACCGGTATTACTGTTTATTGTGTAGCTACTACGGGACACAGGCTTGCATTTGTGTTTGTCATTTAAATTAGAATAGACTTTTGGGTTTTTAAGCTATGTCTGAAATTGCTAACCAGTAAAGAAACGTTTACGTTTCATGGCGGTTAGGCGAGATACAACTGTGTGGTATATCGTTTCATTGGGACATCGACCAGTAAGTGGTTCGTCTGCAGTGTAGTCATTTATTTGCCTTTTTTTCTCAAATTGGCACCTTATGTACTTATACCGGCAGTTATTAAAACACCAAGTAATATTGAGATCTTCCATAAAAAGACAGCTTTAGAGATCGCAAATGTCCTGAAGCTTGTAAACTAAGATTGAGGCCCATTTAGTAATAATGTGGTCTCTGTTATAGACAGCGTTCATTTTGTAAAGTTGATTTAAACAGCAGGAGGCTATAGGCCAACATATTTCTGGAGTATTATGAGCATAACGTTTCCGTTAATATTCAATGGGCCATGCTAGGGCTCTAACCCTCTACCGGCTTATGGCGCCAGTTTTATGCGGAAGGGAAGAGCCATTAATGCTCAACAAGCTCGTTTCGAATGTTGGCAGAAAGCTTGTTACCGCACGGTCTGGTTTGTTGCTTGGCATTGAACGGGAGAAACAATTGTGCGGGGAGTATCCGTCGGATTCCTCAGGGATGACTATGCCACTAGACAATTCAAAGTGAATCCTGAATGTAGAAATCAACAGATGTAATCTGCTGACGAGATGTTGTGCGGTCCAACAATAAGCGATGAGATGCCATGCAGTCAAGGCGTGTACGATAAGTTCAGGAATATTATTCTCATAGGCCGAAGGGCGCAAACCGACCGACTCAGACGGGCGGCACGCCCACCCTATATTTAATTTTAATTTGACTTGGGGGGTTTCACATAGGAATGTGTCTTCTCATACCTTACTCAGTTTATGGTTGCCATGTCATGTGGCCATAGCTCAGATTTTCGCGTGCCGGTGTGGGCCACTCGTGGTGAAGCAGTCGTTGGCGGTGACGGGGGATTGACATGATTGGAGTGTGTCATATTAGGTGCACGTCTTGGGAAATACGGGTCGTTGTGTCTCATTTGTGGGTCGTCGTCGATACTCTTCGTTATTGGGCCAACGTTTGCTATGTTCTGTGAACCTATGTAAGATTTATTGGGTAGTGTGTGGGAACGGTTGTAGAGTAGTTGGTGTTAAGTATTGAGGATTTGGTGTACTGGTAGTGTTATCGATATGAAAATCACTTTACAGGTATTATATGGGTTATCGTGTTTGGCTTACATATTAGGTTGTGTGTTGGCTTGATTCTGTGTTCCTGCAGGAGACGTCGTGGGTGGAAGTTGAGATGTCGAGGTGTGTAGGGAGTAGTCGTGTAGACAGAACTAGTGTGTTCGAGAATAAGGGGTGATGTCGCGAGTGTTGGTCCTCAGCTTGGTCCATTGTCCAGGAGAGCAGGTGGGTAGACCTGGTCCAGGTGGCGGCTGGTGCGGTTGCCTGGTATTCAAAAGCAGTTTTTTAGAGCAATTTTGTTAGGGAAATGGTTTCATCATTTTGCTACATCGCTTCGACCAACTTTGTTAAGGCCAGTAATAACTTAAAATAAATAATTGTGCTTCTTTATGTTCTTTCAAGTTTGGTGCCTAATTGGAACTGTTAGTGAACTGTATCAAAATTACAAAGTAAGATAGTGAGTGGGTCTAAAATTTAATTTGATTAAACTTAACTAGCCATGCCCGTTGTTTTCGTTATAGATATTGATTCCGCTTATACTTCCGGGTATGAAAGTGAAACCATAATTCTAGGAATAGCAGAATCGAAATGGGTATTCGGCAGCTGCTACCACCTGCTGTTAAAATCCGCGCTCGGTGCAAAAATTCTAAAAAATCGGTGGAATGTGAAAGGAATAGAAACTGTAAAAAAAAATTAAATAGCCCATGCAACGTGTCCTGTAGAATGTTCCGAGCAAGTTTGGAGAGGATCCGTTGAGCGGTGCAGAAACGTATAGCGGGACACACAGACAGAAATTTCCCAATTTATAGTAAGATGTATAACACATTTACTAAGCAAAAATATCTTTTGGCTTAATTGTCCGTCGAACAAGCAAAAGTTTTTCCTTATTTCCAACACTGGGCAATCGTCCTCTTTCATGAAATACCAATATGCTTATGTACATGGAGCTGGCTTCACCATGATAGGTACCATCTATTTTGATAGGTATACAAGTGCAGTTGCTAATGGCAAAAAGAAAACGGTTATAGATTATTGCAGTTATATACCTTCCAAAATATCGGCGTAAAATAGACTGTAGTATGAATTGCTCGTGTCAAGTTTTGAAATAAATTGCGAGGAAGAACCCATGCCTTAATGCCTTTAGAGGAGAGATGCGCCTGAATCATGCGGTATCCATTGTTTGGAAATTGGCAAACTGCATCTTGCACGTGATTCTGCAGTTCACCATCTGTGAGGTCAGTATATTTCTGCCTGGCACTCAGGTGAAAGTTACGTAGCTTGCGGTTCAATGTTGATCGGCTCACTCCTGAAAAAGTACATGCATGCACATGGTAATTATTAATACATAAACAACGTGTCATTGTGACCCTCTTCCTCTTTAATACTTTCAATGTATGTCACTAATAGACAGACATATCATGCTAAGAACAGCATGCCTCAAAATATCGTATTAATACTAAAAGGAGCATTTACTTAATAAAATGCGAGAGATAATATCCATAACTCTGCTTAAAACATTGTGTTTATGCGTAATTTTTTTCTGAATGAAAACATGCAATTGCCTAGAATTCTTGCGATGTCTGTGACTGTAAAGTCGTATCCAAGTAAAAACTCTAACTGCTCTCGGCTTATTTCAAATGCCGGACGGCCAACTGTTCCACATCTTTGATATGATTCAACGATGGATCCGGTGCTGTGCTCTAAAGGCCAAAATAAATCAATAAGAAAACAATGCCATACAGGAATTTAATTCAGTCAAAAACATTATAATGCACGTAGTTATATAAGAAAATTCACCTTATTCGTGCGGTCTTTATTTCTAAAGCTTGAGGGACAAACATGTGCTATGTACTCCTAATGGGTTTCGTTTGGATAAGTAGTTGAAACCCATAGTATAGTGTTTGGACAACGTCGATCTACACTGGTATACCTTCTTCCACGGTGAGGGGTTCAGCTTGCTGCATAACGATTGCAGCAGCATTACACTGCTGCAACACGATCACGTCATCTGTTAGTGCAGAAACTTGCCGCAGGATATGTTGAAGGCGCTGAAGACGAAGCAACACGCCATCCAAACGATCGCGTGGTGTTACCGCTACATCTCTCGATAACCTCTGCACACTCTCAGCAATATCCTGTAATACTACAGTAAATAGGAAATGTAGTTAACCTGGTATTTCTTTTAAAATAGTACAGATCGAAGTTAGAGATCAAAAGCTCTTGATCGATGGGCAATATATCAACACTGACACAACAGGTTATGCTGCAAACAAAGTTTCCGATACTCTACGATTCTCTAGGATTCTCTGAAAGATATCCCAACCGAACACGTACGTTTCCGATTAGATACAATAATGTAACCCAAATTCCCAGGATAGGTTTTAAACCTATCCTGGGTTTGGGTTACATTATTGTATCTAGTTTCCGATGTTCAGAAGAATATCCATGTCTAAATTACATAGTATAAATATTACGATACATTACACAATATACAATTAACAATTAAAATTACAACAATTACAATATAAATTACACAATATATTACATACGATACTTATAACGTCGATACTGTGATAATAGTATACTGATGGGGCTACTATAATTCTGGTGTATTATGAATACAATCACTATAGTCTATAGTTAGGCTCATAGGGTCTATGTCCCCCAGGGTACTGCCGGAACAGACCCTGGGTACGGTACGGTATACCGGAACGTACCCTGGTCACTATTTTATATGGTTAGGGTTAGGATTAGGGTTAGGGCTAGGTTTCAGGTTAGGGTTAGGGAGTAGTCGTAGGCGGCTCCCTAGACTCGTTAGTGGAGTAGGCGATCGGGTACGGGCCGGCATATTAGATAGTTACCAGCTAGGGTACGTTCCGGTATGCCGGACCGTACCCAGGGTACGTTCCGGCAGTACCCCGGGGGACATTTTAGACTCTCTCAGCGTTAGGGTTAGGGTTAGGGTTAGGAGTAGGGTTAGGGTTAATGTCAGGGTGTTAGCCAAGCACATTGCCATTGGTTTTATTGGGACCCATGTTCTCTATCCTTGAGCCGTACATTAATTACTATATAACTAGTCATAACGTAACCCGACCAGGTTGTGTGACTAACGTCAATATACACAAGGTCTCTTAATTGATGTATCATGTATGACCATTTCTTGGAGCTAGTCTGTAGCAAAGATCCTATAGCAAAATTTGATCCTGCAGCACTATACGATCTTTGGTGTGTAGTCATCCAGCCGCTACGATGGCGTAATGGTAGAGTGCTCGCCTCGCATGCGGAAGGGCGGGGGTTCAATCCCCGCCCGGGTCATACCAAAGACTCGAAAAATGGTACACACTGCTTCTCTGCTTATCACTCAGCAAAAGGAGATAGAGTGTGGAAAAACGCTTTTGATGGAAACTGCGGGAACATTATGCAGTAGCGCCCTGTGTCTCCTACTACATGCGCAACCGAAACACCTGACGGACGACTAATTATTATTATTATTATGTAGCATAACGAGAACTTAGAACCCAAGGCAAGGGGGGAAATAATAAGGGAGCCTATTTAAAAATAGGTTATTACATATTATGAACATCGGATTTCAACAAATACGCATGAAAACAACAACCTACTAGTACCTGTATTCATATGAGCTCGGGAATGTACAAGTCAAGTGACTATAATCGCCTAGTTTTAGTAGTTATTAGCAGACAGCTACTGTTTGGACTGACGATAACTGTAATGGCAGCCAAAACACAGGCCGTGCGCGAGCGTAGTCTGGCGCCGTCTTAATATTTTTACACGTCTTCATACGCAATCGTGAGAGAAGAATCGGTGAGATCCAGACTATATTTGTGTGATCACGTGATGAAATGCTCGAATGAAGTGATGAAATGCTCGAATGAAGTGATGAACTTATGAAATGTATGTTTATGTAATATTGACACACTCACCGCGTATGCCTCATGACGTCATGTAATATTGACACATTCACCGCACATTGCCTCAAACATAGTCTCAAACTAATGTTTAAATTAATTAAATAATTGATTTGAATGAGGAAATTAACGATCAAATGATGAATAGAAGAATGAAATTATGAATTGAAGTGTGAAATGAACAATGAAATGATGAATTGAATTATGAAATGATGAATTGAATTATGAAATGAACAATGAAATGATGAATTGAATTATGAAATGATGAATTGAATTATGAAATGAACAATGAAATGATGAATTGAATTATGAAATGATGAATTGAATTATGAAATGAACAATGAAATGATGAATTGAATTATGAAATGATGAATTGAATTATGACATGAACAATGAAATGATGAATTGAATTATGAAATGATGAATTGAAT